TTCTCTTCTTCCAACCATTATTTCTTTCTCTTCTTACTGCTTCTTCTTTTTCCTTATTATTTCTAAAAACTAATATAATAACCCTATAATTCTTATTATGCCTTAATGGGCTTAAAACTCCTACACCCCCTTCTACTACTTTTATTCTTTAAAACAAGTCCACATCAAATAATATTATCATTCTAATATTATTCCATAACTTAATAGAATAATTAAATCCAGTAACAACAACACATCAACTATCATCATAACACAACTTCACAAATATTTCAAAAATAATTTAATTAAATAATTAATTAAATTACGGGCGTTACACTTATCTCCTTTTCTTTCCTAACCCTAATGTCCTAATATCTCCGCGGCGGCGCTACAGCTCGACCGAACCGTTTCTATTACAACCACCCAACAAACCCAATTACAAGAATAGTGAAAAAGAGAGCTTCGTTTTTTTTACCCCTTCACTATTTCTATTCCGGACCTCCGAGCTTCTATCTGGTTGCTAACCCTTCTTGTTCTTCGATTTTGCAGATTCCATTGACGCTTTGAAGGTGGGGGCCGATAGTAGCGATGGTAACGACGGTGCAGTCATGCAATTATGATTTCAGATATTGAAACCCTAATTGCCTCTTCTTTGTTCTTCAACAACAAACGCTAATGGCCCGATCTTCTTCTGTTTTGTTTCCAGCAAAATCTCCTCAGTTCTTTCGTTTTTGTTTTTGTTTCTGTCCCCAATAATCTTCTCCTCTCTTGACGTAGAATCCTCCCTCTATTTATATGCTTTAGGGTTTTTGGATGATTATCGTTTCAATCTTAGATTAGGGAAATAGAGGAATTTAGAGACAAGTTATGGATTTAATTTGATGTTAATTGATTAGGTTTTGTAATATTTTTAGATGGAGATTTGGATTCTGTACAACTGTAATCGCAATTGATTTTGTATTATTTTATATTTTGATTCACAGAAGATTATGCATTAAAATTTGATTCAGTAGAGATTTGATTTGCAGTAACAATGTGTTTTAAATCTGATTTGGATTTCTACAGTGATTGTTTATTGAAAAAATCAGTCGTGATTTTTGGTTGATTTGTACAGTTGTTGTTGTTAAGGGAACATGGGTCTGCATTACTATTTTTTCATTCAGCCCAACTCACACAGCAAGAAACTATTTTTAAATTCAATTGGGCTTTGCATTGTAATTGACCAGTCCAACGTATTTAATCTTCTAATACAGCAAGAAAAGGTTCTCAATATCACTAGGTCCAATTGCCTTTCAAAACAGTCTTTTTTCAAGTAATCTTCAATAAATGATTTTAAAACTCAATATCTAATAAACAAATTTTTTTTCAACAAAAACGTTAATTGGGCCTAACTTTTATTTACTGCCATAATCTGAATTGGGCCTCTTTGTCACAAATTGGGCCCAACATTTGTTTTATCCAGCAACAAAATCTTGTATTACAGCAAGCGTTCCTTTTTTTTGTACAACTAGGCCCAATTGGCCTTCCTTTCCCCTGGCCCAAAGCTAGTCATTTTTTTTAAATAGGAACCTTCAATAAATAAGTAGATCTTATAAACAAAATCTCTTAATAAATAAGATAAATAATTTCTACTAAAAATCTTTTAGTAAAACATTATTATGAGATTGGACAGATTAATAGTATTACTATAACGTCCTCTTTAATAAAGAACATATTTTTTTAGTAAAATGATGACAAAAATTTTAACACTTTTTTTCTTCAAAAATGTTAGATGGGCCAACTAGAGAAACTTAACGGGCTTAGTTAATTTCAACCCCTCTTTTACTAATAACAATTGTTTAATAATTAAGAACTTAATAGTTATTTGAATAATCTTCCATTTACGAATCGCATGGACCATTGGTCAACATGCTTCACAAATGGGTTTATGAGTATTTCTGATTTAGAAAGGCCCATTAAAATACACCCCCTAGTCTTGGATAAAGATGGACCATCAGATACTGCTGTACCATCTTTAATTAAATATTTCTTCTATTTTAATCTCGAAAAAATAAAATCATCGAGGTAGGACAAATTTGGGGTACGACATTGTGTACTTGGGAAACAATGGCGTGTTCAATTTAAGTATGGAAAACATTAAACACAAGAATTTTAGACAATGTGCATTTTGATGTGTAGGGACCTACCAAAGAGGTTTTCATGGGTGGTTTCAGGTATTTTGTGACTTTCAAAAATTACTTTTATCGCAAGGTTTGGGTGTATTTATTAAAGTAGAAATCTAAAGTCTTTACCAAATACAAGTCGTGAAAGCCAAAAGTAGAAAATTTAATAAGTAGAAAATAAAGTATTTACAGTCAGATGATGAGACAAAGTACACTAAAATGTGCCGATTTTTGACATGTTATTAATATTTCTAATTCTACGATTTATACGAGATTTATACTCGCATTGGTGGAAAGGTGGAGACCCAAAACACACACATTTCATCTCCCAATTGGTGAATGTACTGTCACACTAGAGGACATGTACATGTTGTTGGGTCTCTCTATTGAAGGTAAATTGGTGAATGGGCCGGTTCAACAACCCAATTCTCTATGCGAGCAAATGTTGGGAAAATATATGGTTTCTGGAACAGGTGCGAAGGGCCAAGTTATTTTACTAATGGGTCTTAAAGAACATTATGGCTCTCTTCAGTTGAATGAAAATTCGTTCGAGCAAGCTAAAATAGTTAAAGCCATAAATTATATTATGATATTATTTGGAAGTCTGTTATTCCCTGAAAGTACATGTAATAGTGTCAATTTTATGTATCTAAGTTTGCTTAGGGACTTCGATAAAATAAAAAAGTATAGATGGGGTTCCGCCGTTTTAGCCTATCTATACTGTTCATTATATAAAAATGCAAAAAAAAAACACATGTACTTTATATGGATGCGCTTTCTTGTTCCAAACATGGGGTTGGTGGAGAATGAAGTCTCTTAACCCCCTCAACGACATGTTATTCATGTTTCCATATGCAACCAAGTAAGTCTATAACGCTATTTACATTTTATGGATTTATGATAAATAGTTGTACATAATTTATTGTTTCTTTCTTTGCAGTAGGTTTTGTGTAAGGGGCATGGATTACAACAAGAATCCAAGACGAAATGTCGGTTTATATCGTAATCTTTTGGATCACATTGACCCAGAAGATGTATGTATTACTTCTAAACTTTTCTTCTTTTAATTTATTTATTTTTAAAGTTATCATCATTATAATATAATTTTATCTGTAGTTTCTTTAGAGACCATATTTGGGTCTAGAACATCAACTCAACCCCGGGGATGCAACCGTTTGGACTACAAAAACTGCAATCATACGGTACAACATTATGGAGATGCATCAAAGCGACCGTGTCAAAATACAAATCCACATGCATCAAGATATACCGTCTCCCCCAACTTGTTTGGCACCATGGCATCTTCTCAGGGTTGACACTCAGTGGGGTGTTAACAATTAGAAAGAATTTGCATCTGATTGGTGTAAGACGTGGAAGAGGCGTCACCGACATGTATTAGATTTTCTTGTTTACCCTGCAAACTATCCTATGAGACACACAAATCAATATATCAATTGGTACAAATATGTTATTAATCCTGAAATGTTTATGGCTGACCCGAGGTATTTGATCGACCCACGCACACGATGGGCATCATCCTCAAATCCCCAACAAAACTACCAACAATCATACACCGCCCAACAACAACCCCAACAACAAACCCAACACACATCAACCTCCCACCAAACACAACGATGATACAGATCCACCAACACCCAACCATAAACCCAAGACCAATACCAATACACACACATACCCCACACACAATCACAGTACCAAGAACAACAACCATACATTTGTCATCCCGATGTGGGCCCCTCATCATCTCACTTTAGCCCAGACCTTGGCCTACCTGAAGAATATTCCCCAACCAATCCAACTTACCATCATCCATCACATCACCATAGCATCCAACAATCATAGTATCAAACTCCACAAGATTCATTTCCTTTTTACCCCCTTATTCAAACTACAAGTGCTATCGACCATCCACGAAACCCCACCCGCACAAATACGACCAAACTTTAAGGGTATGGGTAACCAACTCTTTGAAAGTGGATCTTCTGGATATGCTGATTTGACGGATGGATCATGAATGCATTGACTTCGTAGGACCATCGACCCAACCGCAATAGGAAAAATCGTCGAAACGCACCTCGAGTTAGGCGAGGATACAAATGCGGAACGATGGGTCGGGAGACAACTAAATAATATGTAACTTTTATTCCTATTATGTAATCGTTTCATTATTATTGAAAATCGAAGTTTCAATTCCGCCAAATTGTCTTTTATTCTTTTAGCAAAAAAATAAAAAAATAAAAGAAAAATAACACCTAAGTGCCATTTGAGATGACTAGGGCTTTTCACATGCACCTAGGCGCTATCTCATTTGACGCCACCTTAAAAAAAATGAATGCATGCGCCATTTGAAATGACTGAAGCTTATTTCACATTTCTGAAACATGGTTATTTACGTAATTTTCTCTGAAATATGATTATTTATGTATTTTTTTTAAATCCTATTATTTAAAAAAAAATTGAAATTTTTGATTATTTAATTTATTGTTTTTAATATTTGTTTGAGTTTGCGACAAATTATTAGTTTTGAGAAAAATTACTATTTTACTTTAAAAAATTGTTTATGACGAAAATAAACGGAGGCGCAAATATCCGAATCAGTTTGAAACAAATTTTGGATATAATTACTTACCCCATTTAAATTTGAGACGGAAAATGAATATTTAGCTAAGATTAGAATTTGGTTCTCTAGTATTATATTAAATAATAGACACCTTTTTTGACCAAACACTCAAAATGTACGAAGGTCAAATTAGAGTCATAAACAATATGCCCCATCTTGTATAAAATCATAACTCAGCTCCATAAATTAATCACACAACAACATCTTCATCATTCACAATGGCTTCTTCTATCATCATCCATTTTTTCCTCCTACAACTGTCCCTTTTCTCACTTTCTTCATTGTTAGCATCATCTCAACCACACTCCTTCATTCTTCCTATAAAAAAAGACCCATCAACCAACCTCTTCTACACATCACTTGGCATAGGAACTCCTAGAACTAATTTCAATCTAGTCATTGATCTTGGAGGAGAAAATCTCTGGTATGACTGTGATACTCACTACAATTCATCCTCCTACACTCCTATTCAATGTGGCTCTAAACAATGTCCAGAAATCGGATGTATTGGCTGTGACGGCCCCTTCAAACCAGGTTGCACTAACAACACATGTCCTTCTTCTGCATTAAACTCACTAGCCCATTTCATTTTTGGTGGTGGCCTTGGTCAAGATTTCATTTTCATTTCTCAAAACAAAGTTTCTGGCTTGCTTTCAAGTTGCATTGATACTGATTCATTCCCATCATTCACTGGCAATGAATCAGCACTCAATGGCTTACCAAAAAACACCAAAGGAATCATTGGTCTTTCAAGATCAAACCTTTCTTTACCAAAACAACTTGCTTTGAAAAACAAGCTTCCACCCAAATTCTCTCTTTGTTTGCCTTCTTCTAACAAACAAGGATTCACTAACTTGCTTGTTGGATCAGATAAATTGTCCAAATTTGTTCAAACTACACCACTCATTGTGAACCCTTTTTCATCAGGTCCTGTTTCTGTTGAAGGTGTGGCTTCAAATGAATATTTCATTGATGTGAAAGCTGTTAAGATTGATGGAAATGTATTGAACTTAAAGCCTTCTTTGTTGTCCCTTAACAAAAAAGGAAATGGTGGCACCAAAATTAGTACTATAACTCCTTTCACTGAATTGCACACATCAGTTTACAAGCCCTTTATTCGTGATTTCCTCAAGAAGGCTTCAGATAGGAAACTAAAGAGAGTGAAATCAGTGGCACCATTTGAGGCTTGTTTTGACTCAACTAGCATTGGAAATTCTGTACCAAGAATTGATCTTGTGCTTCAAAAGGGTGTGCAGTGGACTATTCATGAAACCAATTTGATGGTTAATGTAAAGAAAAATGTAGCATGTCTTGGAATTGTTGATGGAGGGACAGAATCAAGGATGTCTTTTACAAAACCCTCAATTCTTATTGGTGGACATCAATTGGTGGACAATCTTCTGGTGTTTGATTTATCATCCTCAAAGTTGAGCTTTAGTTCTTCACTTTTGGTCCACAATGCTAGTTGTTCTTAAATCCCAGTCTTGAATTAATTAATGGTGTAGTTTTATTAAGAGTTTAGATTAGATGTTTCAGCTTCTCTTTCTTGCTTTTCTCAGCATTTGTTTACTTTGTAATGTAAGCTATGCTTTTGTCTACATTCCCTTTTTTATTTGTAATTTCGACTTATTCCAATTTCTATGAGGTTTCAACAATTTTCCTGCAATATCTGCTATTTCACAAAGCCATTGGAATTCACGCAACCACACCAAACTCGTTGGAATTATCTTGATTTGGTTGAACCGGCAGAAGAATAGATTGCAGACTTCGCAGAACAACATTCCATGTAGCACTCTTCTTCGGCGGACTCACACCAATGGGGACACTTAAGAATTTGAAAGAAAATGACCCAATTTAGCAAACCAAGAACACATATGCTGCTTGCAAATCTGTAGCATCAATGTTAACTCCAAATAAATTGCATTTTTTATAACCAACACTCATCCCGAATTTCATTTCGAAGCCCCTAAGAATAGCTTTGATACTCCTAAAATTTTATGTTGAACCATCGCTAATTACAACCGTGTCATTAGTGAATTGGAGCAACTCAAAATTCAACTTTGCATTGTACTTAAACCCATATGAATGAGATGACGTATTAGAAATAAGGTCCGCAAGATGTTCTTGAAGTGGTCAAGAATGGGGTGAATCCTCTTGCCGAAGATGCAACAATTGCAAAACAAGCAACGCCCAAGGAAGAAAAGAAGAAAGATTATAAAGTGTTATTTTTTATCTATTCATGTGTGGATGGTGACAACTTTGAGAAAATTGATGATTGCGAATCGACAAGGAAAGCGTGAGAAACTCTGGAAAAAGCTTATGCATGGGGCTGATAAGGCAAATGTGGCAAGATTACAAACTCATAAATGTCAATTTGAATAGATTCAAATGAAGGAGAATGAGACAATCAACGATTACGCGATGCAAATTATGCGATTGGTGAATCACATCAAGTCTTTTGGTGAAACTGTTTCGGAGCAGAATGTTGTGTCAAAGATTTTGCGTTCTTTGATAGAAAAATTTGACAACATAGTAGTGACGATTGAAGAGTCGAAGGATCTTGTGATATTGGACAAATATGAACTTCAAAGCTCTCTTGAGGCTCATGAGCAAAAGATGGAGGTGAGAAGTGATGACAAGGCAAAGGTGGGGATAGTTTTGTAATTCTGGTTCAATGAGAAGAACAAACAAGAAGTCGAAAGGAAAATGGCCCATGAAGAGTAAATGGGATTTTTAGAATTTTGGTGGAAAAGAGTCACAAAATTCGAAGGGTTTGACATGTCAAAGGGGTGAGAGTAGGTGCAACACAAATGGTGGTCAAGACAACTTCACCAAGAAATTTGACAAGAATGAGGTACAATATTGTAATTTTCAACAACTTGGTCATTTCGCAAGAGATTGCAATGTGAAACAGAGGGAATCTCAAGGATATGAGGCTAAGGTTGCTAGACAAGAGGTGGATGATGAAAACACGCTCTTGGTGATGATCACGCAAGGGAAATGTAGTAGCACTAGGCTGCCGGGCAGAAGCAACAGTTCCGAGAATGCTTCAGAAATGTATTCGGAAGAAAATGTTATGGAGAATGTGAGTGAATGAGTCCAATGCAGTGAAGAGGGGTACTTGGATTCTAGTTGTTCCATTCATATGATGGGTAGAAATGATTGGTTTGTCAAAATCAATCAAGCCACGAAGAATAAAGTCAAATTCACGGATGACACCACTTTAACGGTCGACGGGGTCGGTGATGTTTTGATCATGATAAGGGTGGTTGGTCATTCCTTGATCAAATATTTATTGTACATTCCCGGAATCAAATGCGACCTTCTAATTATTGGCCAATTGCTTGAGAAGGGTTACAAGATTCGCATGGATGACAAGACTTTGCACGTTATGGGTTCAAATGTAACCTTCTAAGTTGAAAGTGATAGAGCATACGTGTCTTGCTACAGTGACAAGTCGAGATGAGTGGTTGTGGCATTACCGTCTTGGGCATCTCAATTTTCGAGATCTCATCGTGTTGCAAAGAAAAAAATGGTAATCGGGTTGCCATCCATCAACATTCCAGCTGAGATTTGTGAAGAGTATGTGCAAGGGAAGCTATGGACATACATAATCAAGAGAAAGGATGAGGTATTTGAAGTGTTTAAGAAGTTTAAGTCCATGGTTGAGCGGAAGTGATCACAATCTCAAAGTTCTTAAAATGGATGGTGGAGGCGAGTATGTCTCAAATGATTTCGAGAAGTTTTATGATGAAGATGGGATAGTGCATGAGGTAGTAGCACCCTATACACCACAACAAAACAGTGTTATTGAAAGGAAGAATCAATTTATTGTGAACATGGTGAGAAGTATGTTAAAGGGGAAGAACTTGCCGAAAGAGTTGTGGGAAGAAGTGGTATCTGCAACTATCTATTTGTTGAATAGTTGTCCTACAAAGAATCTTGAGAAGATAACACCGGAAGAGGCATGATCTAGATTCAAACCGAATTTAAATCATTTGAGAGTTTTTGGTTCCTTGGCGTATCAACATATTTTGGGTCAACTTAGAAAGAAGTTGGATGACAAAGGAGAGGTGTTGATACTTGTTGGGCATCACCCTACTAGAGGTTACAATATGTTTGATGTTGAAAATAGGAGGATCGTGATCAGCCGAGACTTTTTAATTGATGAATTGAAGTCGGTTGAGCAACATGTAACCGATGACACACAAACGTTAATCGATTACATGAAGGAGTTAACCGGTTACAGGAATATGTTAACCGATTACACACATGATTTTTTGGATTTTGGAGAAACTGAAATTGCAGAATTGCTGCCCATTAAAGCCAGAACCAATGTAGATGTGAGTAGATCAACTGGGTAAAGAGGTTTTCCCCAAAGACTCTAAGATTATGAGATATTCCGGGATAACAAAATTGATGATGATGGTGATTTCTTCATTTTACACTTATGGCCGAATACAAGCCCATTAACATGGAAGAGGCATTGAGTGATCCAAAGTGGGTTTGTGCAATGAAGGATGAGCTGAAATCGATTGAGAAAAAAAATAAATGGGAGTTGGTTTATCTAACGGAAGGAAAAAATCCAATTGGTGTAAGATGGGTCTATAAGGTGAAGGCAAATCCCAAAGGTGAAATAATCAAGCATAAGGCTTGATTAGTTATGAAGGGATTCTTGCAAAGATAGGTATGGTATTTGATGAAGTGTTTGCATCAGTTGCTAGGATCGAAAACATAAGGCTAGTTGTTGAAATTACGAATAGAAACATTTGGTCTATCTATCAAATGGACGTGAAGTCCAGGTTTTTGAACGGTCCACTTGAGGAGGAAGTGTATTTAGAACAATCCCCTGATTTTGTTATGAAAAAACCAAGAGGAGAGATTCTACAAGTTGAGAAAAACGTTATATAGTTTGAAGCAAGCTTCGAGAGCTTGGAATAAGCTGATAGATGGTTTCCTAGTTGAGACTGGCTTCAAGAAATGTGTGTCCGAGCATGGAGTTTATGTTAAGACAGATGTAAGTAAGGGTGTGATCATACTTTATCTATATCTAGACAATTTGTTAATCACAGGCAGCAACAAGAAGACTATTTCTAAGTTCAAGAGTGAGCTTATGAAAGAATTCGAGATGAGCGACCTTGATATTATGACATACTTCTTTGGTATAGAGTTCTACAAGTCCAAAAGGGGACTGCTTATGAATCAAAGGAGATATGCTCTTGAGATATTGAAGAAGTATGATATGGAGCATTGTAATGTTGCCATTACATCAACTAAAGTAAGGTTGCAGCTGTCCAATAATGAGGATGAACAAAAGGTAGATCTTACTCAATATAGAAGATTGATTGGATCATTACGTAACTTGTGTAACACACGGTCATATTTGGCATTTTGTATCGGTATTGCAAGTAGATTCATGGAGAGACCGAAAGTGTATCACTTGGAAGTAGTCAAGAGAATATTAAGATACAACAAAGGATCTATTGGCTGCGGATTTCTCTTTCCCACAACAGATACAGGAAGAAAATGAAATTTGCTTGGTTTTACCGATTCCAATTGTGTGGAGATAAAGACGATTGTAAGTCTACAACTGGATACATCTTTATGTTCGGTGGAGCACCAATATCATGGTGTTTTAAGAAGGAAATGGCAGTTACACTCTCGTTTTGTGAGGACAATTATATTTCTGCTTCGTTATGTGCGTGCCAAGTTGTGTGACTAATGAATCTATTGGAAAAGCTGGGTGAAACAACCGGCTGAAAACCATCAAATAATGAAGTCTCCATCGGACATATTTTATCCCACATGAAAGGAAAGGTAAACATCGAGAAAACCTAAGAAGGGAGAAGCCATGGTCTTGCGACCGAGAGATCAGGTAAGGGAGTCGGTTACGCGGGAGGGAGGTATTACCACCCCACACGCCCGTAGTACTCTACGGTATCCACTCTTGTTATCTATCTTATGGGTGTGTCTAATCTATGCTTATTGTTTACTACTGAGGAAGAATGCAAGCAAAAGAAATGAGAAAAGAATGTTGGGAAAATAAAGTTGTACTCGCTTGGGCCCTACCCCAATGCATACGAAACCTTTTTGAGGAATCAAAGTTACCGTAGTTCGGCTCACATGTTTTTGTTTATTTTGTGTTTTTTTATGGACGATGTTAATTCCGCCTTCTGCCGCAGCTCGACCTTTGGAGACACACGCGTTGGCACATAAGTAAATTAATCATGTCCTTACTAAAAATCGTTTCGAGTTACGCCCTCAAGGAAAGATGCCATATTTGATCGGTTTGTGTTTTGTTACCTTGAAAAAGAGTTTAAATGTGATTAGAGAGTATTTTATTGTAAGTGTTTGTTTATTGGCATTTTTTTTGGTAAAACCAGATTTGCGATATATATATATATATATATATATATATATATATATATATATATATATATATATATATATATATATATATATATATATATATATA